TATCATTCTTAATTTCTTAATTCTTATCAATCATTCTTAATTTCTTAATTCTTATCTATCTTTTTTAAATATATTATATTTTAATATATAAAATTTCGAAATTATTTGAAATTTTCAAAATTTAATATATCTTTAATATCAAAAAATATATAACTTATATTTTAAATATATTCTCTATTATTTATTGAAATTTTCGAAATTTTAATATATAAAATTTCGAATTTTTTTTTAATTTTTCCAAAAGTAATATATTTATTTATTATCAAAAAATACATAAATTAAAATGTCGAGAGAGTCCGGTAGAAGGTCCGTGGATATGGGCGCCGTGAACCGAAGTTTGAGGAGAGGCAAAGCTAAAGCCACCTCCGACGGTTCGACCTCACGCGGTTCTCGAGGAAGACACTCTGTCTCTTCCTTTCCTACTATCCCCGATCACTTAATCGGGGACGCTATGACGGATGAAGAATTCGACCAGATGTATTCTGGTAGAGGGGACGCAAATCTCTCCACTCTTGATAGTGTATTCGAAGATCTTGATGAAACAGGACTGGATAATCTAGACGGGGACGAGGAGCCTACACCACAGAGCAACGACGTCGACGTGGAGGCAGGTGAGCCCGAGACCTCTCGAGGTCCGGACAAAGGTAAAAAAAATATAAATCAGATTTATTTGTTTATCATTTTGACAAAGAAACAAAAGATGGCGTAGTTTATGGAACTTGTAAACATTGTGGGACCGTCATAAAAATGGGAGTTTCCGACGGTTATGGCGGTCCGGAAAAACACCTAAGGTCGAGGCATCCCGTGGAGTACGCCAAATACGAGGCAAAAAAGAAGGGATGACAAGAAGTGCAAACCCAAATTTCTCGGTTTGCAAACAGAGGTAAGGGCAGTCTTTTTGCTTATAGCGACGAGCAAAATAAGCAAAAAATGGCCGAAATGATTTGTGAAGAAAATTTGCCATACATGTTTTCTGAAAAACTTGGATTTATTGATTATTGTCAACAGGCATTAAACCCTCAAGCACGAGGTTTTTCAAGAAAAAAAATTAAACGAAAAATTATTCGTTAGTATAAAAGTGGGAAAATAAATTTGGCAAATTTTTTTCTCAATTTTAATTCTCGTGTTGCTATTTGTTCTGATATTTGCAGTGAAACTTATCATAATTTGTCTTATATGGGTGTTACTTGTCATTGGATAGATAGTGATTGGATTATGCATAAACGTGTTCTTGCATTTCGTGATTTCAATGATCAGCATAATGCTGAAAATATTTTTCAATTGATTCAGAGTATTCTGCGGGAATACAACTTATCTGAAAAAGTGTTTTCATTTGGTTTTGATAATGCTACTAATAATACTGCAGCTATTCCTAGACTTAGAGAAATTTGCCCACCGTCTACGTCTATGGGTAGATTTATGCATCAACGGTGTGCCTGTCATGTTTTAAATTTATGTGTTCAACATGGACTAGAAGCTATGAGCGGAGTTTTGACGAATATTAAAGAAGGAATTAAAAGAATTTGGGAGTCTCGTCTTGTTTCGAGGTCCTGGAAGATGTTCTGGAAGAAGGAATTAAAAAAATTACTATAGTTGTTTTTTAGATGAAAATAGTTATTACTACAGTCATTTAATAGAATGGAAAAAAGAAAGAGATAATGCTATAACTTTTTTTGAGAATTTGTTCGAGGAATATCAAGGGTTATACGGTACTGTACAAGAAGAAACAGCACCACCTCCGCCCCCGAAATCAAAAAAAGGTTTTGCCGGAATAGTCGGTGGTCTTCTTGCAAAGAAAAGGAAGCGTGCTCATTCTTCGACGAGTTCAAGTGGTACAACAGTAAGCTCGCACAACGAAATTGCTATGTACCATGGTTTGCCATGCGATTACGACGACGACGACGTGGATTTTGATGTGCTCGGATGGTGGAAGCGGAACGAACACATGTTCCCATGTCTCGGCATGCTAGCAAGACAAGTTTTATCCGTTCCGGTATCAACCGTAGCAGTTGAACGAGAATTCAGTGCTGGCGGCAACATTCTAACCGACTTTCGAAGTTGTCTTAGCGCTGAATCTCTGGTTTGCAACCAAGATTGGCTCTTGGCAAGACGTCGAGCTCAAGAGTCATCATACCTACTCGAATCGGAGCATTACATGAATGCAACAACAGATGGAAGTCCGAGTTCTGAAGAATAAGTTATAATTTTTTTATGTTAATGTAGATATGTAATTAGTTTTTTTAGGTGAGCGATATATAAGCTCCTTCGAGGGTTTCTTTACGATTCTTTACCTCACCGTTTTTTTTGAACCGTCAGGATATTAAATGTGGTTGTTCTTCAATTAGTGTATTATTCATTTAAAATATTTAAATAACGACTACATTTTTAGATTTTTTATTTCATTCTTTCCTTAAAGAATTGCAAATTTAAAATTTTATACTTTAAAAATTTTAAAAAAAGCAAAAAAAAAGGAGGGGGGCGAAACCGGCCGGTCCGGTACCGGAACCGCCGGTCCGGGAACCGGAACCGGTACCGGCCGGCACGGTGACGGTTCCGGTGACATGGGGTGGCGGTACCGGAACCGGCGGTTCCGGAACCGGAACCGTACCGTGTCCACCCCTAGTATCATCATGAAAGATTTCATCTAGAGTTTAAGGCCCCCTAACTTAAGCAGGAACGCGATAAACTTTTAAAGCACTTAGTTTAATCATTCAAGTCGGGCAACTCTGATCTATTTTTTTGAGGGACGAACACACCCCATATTTTTATGTGCGTGTTCATAAAAAAAGCAATAAAATATACTCCCTCCGTCCCGCTATATTATCCACTTTTGACTTTTGAAACTGTTCATCTAAGCACTTTGACTCATCAAATTCTCTCAATGTGTAAGCCTAAATATAGTCATGTGTGATATTGTTTGATTTGTCTTAACATATAGATTATTAATATATAATTTCTATAATTTTTTAATATACAAATTATAAGATAAAATGGATTAAAGAAGTGTATTGGATTGTGCGTAAAAATGAAAGTGGACAAATACTCTGGGACGGAGGTAGTACTATACTTATGATACTAATAAAAATAGATGACTTGTTCCATGGGATCGGAGGAGAACCTATTTATATAGACTAAATGGACCTAAAAAAATGGAATATAGAAGTATATATTGTTATTATTATTATTTCCAGACTTTATATTCTCATTATTACCTTAACTATTTTTATTTATTTCTATGAATATTATGTTGAGATATTAAATTAATAATATCGCTCATTGAATTATGTAGTACATGATAGGTATATATATAGGAGATACTATTACACAACCAACAACAGAGAATGTAAACTAACTAAAATACAACATTTACCATAATTAAGAATAGGAAGTTAACTAATAATCAAACACTACCATAAGGAAAAATGTTATTATTATTGTCTAACAATTATTATTATTATTATTATTATTATTATTATAAATACTCTCTTATAAATTCATATTTATATATTTACATATTTATATAAATTTAAAAGTGAAATTTATACGGAGTATCTAATTTAAAGTAAAATATTATTCTCGTCCCATTATATCCTCGTTCCATATTTATATCATTTTTAAAGTAAAATTATACTCCATCCGTCTCTAAAAAAATTATTGTTTCATTTTTGCGCATTCTATAAAATAATTTTACCCCTTTTAAAATATCTAAATCACTCTCAAAACCACTTCTACCTATATATAAGTTTAATAAGGGATACACAGAATAATGAAATATGAAATTTATTAGAGATAGAGGAAGTATTATTTTTGTCCCATTATATTTTTGTTTCATAATATTTTTTATTTCCATATTATTATTTCAGTAAATAATAATGAGCGTATATGTATAACAACTTCTATATTTCCATATATAACACACACAAATTATATAACGAAATTTTTTGTTTCTAAACATAGTTAAATTTTAGATGTGGTGATTTTATGTATGGTAAAACTTTCATATATAATAATACTAATATTAATTTTATTTTTATTACATTATTATTATTATTACTATTATTTTAAAGTAAACTATTGTTTTTGTCCCATTATATTTTTGTTCCATATAATTCTATTATTTTCATAAATAATATAAATGTGTGTGTCTATATACATACTAATATTTTGACCTGTTCCATGCACGAGTGGAATGAAATTATTTTCAATCCTAAACATTTCTTTAATTTTTTAAAGTGTTATTCATTTGGAATCTAACTCTTCCGATATGTTTTGTTGAGATAAAAATACTTCTCCATTAGTTTGTAGAACTGGTAAAAGATCATATCATTTTTTTAGGAACGGAATTATTTTGATCCAAAATATTTCTTTATTTTTTTAAGGTTTTGTTCATTTGGATTCTACCTCGATCTTCAGATATGTTTTGTTCAGATAAAGATATTTTTCCAAAAAATTACAATTCTACTTTCTTTTGTTAGTTTGTAGAAGTTGTAAGAGCTCATTTTTTAGGAAAAATATTTTCTCAAAGAAGGGAGAAACTAACTTTTGAATGTTTTCGATAATTTTTTTCTACTCAATTATCGAATACTCTAATTCCTCAAGTTCATTTCCCCAGTAACTCCCATCCTTTTCCCCATCCCCTACCCCCAAACCACAGTCACATCCTCCCCTCGCCCCTGCCCGAGAGGCAGGACTCGGACTTATGTAGAAAAACTTCAATAGATTTGGGCAGGATTCGGACTTATGTAGAAAAACTTCAATAGATTTACAGTGTGCCACTTTTGACCACTCGGCCACTCTCCCCTTTCCAAACTGAATTCGTTTCACATAGTGAAACTCACTTCAAGTAATACGTATTCGTTAATCTTCCAACTTACGCGTCTAGTTCAAGTTCAGCTCATCAGTGAAGGAGCCCGATCCACCCTTTAGAGCAACTCCAACCGGTAGTGCAAAAATTGGTCAGCCAAACATATTTTTAAAACTCTGAACAGTGTTTTAGCAGTGATGGTCTCCAACCGCATCATGTATATTATCGTGTAGTAGTCATTTTTATTATTTTTTACTCCCTCCGTCCCACTCTTTTTGTCCACTTTCATTTTTGCACACCATCCAATGCACTTCTTTAATCCATTTTATCTTGTAATTTGTATATTAAAAAATTATAAAAATTATATATTAATAATCTATATGTTAAGACAAATCAAACAAGATCACACATGACTATTTTTAGACTTACACATTGAGAGAATTTGATGAGTCAAAGTGTTTTGATGAACAGTTCCAAAAGTCAAAACTGGACAAAAAGAGTGGGACGGAGGTAGTATCTTATTTCGGTGTTCTTTTTCTGNCAGTGTTTTAGCAGTGATGGTCTCCAACCGCATCATGTATATTATCGTGTAGTAGTCATTTTTATTATTTTTTACTCCCTCCGTCCCACTCTTTTTGTCCACTTTCATTTTTGCACACCATCCAATGCACTTCTTTAATCCATTTTATCTTGTAATTTGTATATTAAAAAATTATAAAAATTATATATTAATAATCTATATGTTAAGACAAATCAAACAAGATCACACATGACTATTTTTAGACTTACACATTGAGAGAATTTGATGAGTCAAAGTGTTTTGATGAACAGTTCCAAAAGTCAAAACTGGACAAAAAGAGTGGGACGGAGGTAGTATCTTATTTCGGTGTTCTTTTTCTGACAAAGCTCACTCACCAATAAAAGTAACAAGCAACATTCATTCTCGACCACATATTTGTAAATAGCTTGCATATACTTATCATCTATTTATAAATGGTGTTGAAGCAAATATAGAAGAGATGTTATTTTTAACATGACCCATTGGAGAAGTAAAAAATGAACAGTAACCTCTATAACATCTATATTTTAAACTGGTGGGTTGGAGATGCCCTTAGAGAATGGAACTCTATAATGAAGATTTGATATTGATTGTGTTCAAAAAATAAAATATGCTCCCTAAAATATATTACAACTATCTCAAATATCTTTACTCTTTATTCAAATATTTTTTTTTGAATGCACTCTTTATTCAAATATTGACAATGGACTAATATAAAAAATTATCTTTCTAACAAATAATAGAAAATTGTTTTTTTGAAGAAAAATATTTTCATGAAAATTGTTTCTCCTAAAATAGTTGTCTAGAAACATATTTTTTCATAACCAACTACACCCTCAACTTCGAATATTTTCCAACTTCTGTTTCTTTTCTACTTTTTTGAGTTTCTTCAAATATAATTTTTCTAACTCCATATTCCTTCCTACTCTTTCTAGTTATATCTAAATTCTTTTCATTTCTGTCAGTAGTGATTTAAAATTATGTGCATACATTTTTCATAAACAAACATGTTTATTTCCTTAAATGTAAAAGTGAAATTTACTGTTATTATTATTACTACTATTATTAGAGCAGTTCTAGAGCCACGTACTCCGGTGTGTGAGAGTTTATTGAAGTGTAAGGGGTAATTAAGGAAAGTATTTATTGCCTTTTTAAACTTTTAACAAATGCTATATTTTTAAATTATTGATTTCCTCCTATAATGATGTAATTATGTTTCCTACATAGTAGATAGACGTGGCAAATACATGACATTTTACATGTAAAAAATAATGCCTTCAAAGATATGTTATTTGTCCTATTCTTAAAGATTCGAGTGTCAAATTTATATGTAAGGAATTAGAAAAATTATTATGATTCATATCCCCCGATTTAATAAGATTTTCCTCCCTAGCTCATATTGGTTTAAAAAATACTTCATATGAATTTTGTCTCCGTGCATTAGTTCATTAAAAAAAATAATAAACAAATATTAGTGATCTAATTAGTATTCTCCGTAATTAAATTTACTCAATGATATTGAAATCTTAAATATGTTAGTGCAACTGTGCAACATTACATGCATGTTAGGGGGTACATCTTTTTATCAATTTTATTTATAATTTAATTAAAAATATCATATCATAATAGATATATACTTAAAAATAATATACTTTTAAATTTCAATCATACATCATCTAAGAAATATAAACCATGATTTGTCTAGTAATAAAACCAATATATTCAAACTATGAAATTACCTATAATATTTTTTTCTGTTTACTTATCAAATTTATTTATAGGTAAATAAAGTATTTTACTTATTATTTAAAAAAAATTACATTGTAAATGAAGAAAAAAAATATAGTAGGTTATATTATTATCATAAAAAAAGAAATTTTTTACCAGTGCTTCACACGAGCTTGTATA